TTGCCCGAGCCAGGCGCAAGGACAATGCGACCAGCCGTCTCGCCGCTGTTGCCTGTCGACAACACCATGTCACCGCTGGAAAGAGTGCTTTCGCCAGTCGTGAGCTCCACGACACCCGACGACACGGCAGAAGACGACTTGAGGATGACCGTGCCCGAAACGGCATCGTTGACACCGCTCGCAATGACGATCGACGCAGTCAACGTTTCGTCGCTAGGATGTCCGAGCGTAATCGTAGCGCCTTGCGATGAAGCACCTGAGCGACCGCTAGAGAGCTGAATTGACCCTCTTTGGTCGTTGGCAGAGATGGCGACACCGTGTGTCGTGCTCGACGTCCCAGAAACGCGAACAGGCCCACCAGCAATTTGGAGGTCGTCCCGACTGGAAAGCACCATGGTGTCACTTGCAGCGCGGAAGCTTCCGTTGGATTCCACGTCAATGCTAGTGCGAGCTGGTGCATCCTTGCCTCCGGTGCGAATCGAGACATTGCCTCGCAGACCACCTTGCAGAGCGAGACTGCCACTTGCCGAGATGTGTACGTCACCGCCGCGCGCACCGTCGGCCGTGGCCATGGTGATGGATCCAGCTTGCTCCGTAGCCGTGCCCGTTTGGATGCTGATATCACCACTGGACTGCTGCGTGTCACGCCCCGATACGAGAGCAATGGAACCACTCTGCGCGGTCGAGCCGCCCGATGCAATGACAACGTCCTTGTCAAGCAAAACCGATGCAGCAGCACCAGCACGCAGCGCAAGCGATCCCGCTTTGCCAGTTGAGCTTGTCGTCGCGCCGGTTGCAATCGTGACAGACCCCGTTGCATCCGCATCCGCTGGGCTGCCGAGGGAAAGCTCGCCAGGACTAGAGCCGCGGCCAGACATAAGGCGGATACTGCCGCCCGTGCTGCCCGAGCCAGCGTGCACATGGACCGTGCCGCCTGAACCCGTACTCGAGCGCCCAGTAGACAAGACAATGCTGCCTGGTTGGTTGGCGTTGCTTGTCTCAAGCACGACGCCGCCTGACGTCGGCGCTGCGCCGCTCGCCAGCGTGATCGTGCCACTTGCACTCTCGGCACGTGCGGACACAAGCTCGAGCGCACCCGAGTTTGTCATGCCGGTGCCCGTCGCCAGTAACAGAGCGCCCCCGTCACTTTCAGCCGACTCGCCGGCGTGCAGTTGGATTGAGCCGCCACGCGATTGGCTGTCTCCGACGGCAAGCACAATGGACCCCGCCGAGTTGGCGTTGCCGGTTTGAACGAGCATGCTACCTGAAGCCGCTGTCTCCGACATACCGGAGCGCAAGAGAATGTCACCCGTCGCCTTTGCTTTTGCGTCGGCCGTCGTAATCTCGATGCGTCCCGTAGCGTGAGGCTCGTTGCGTCCGAGGCGAATGCGCTTGTACTGTGCTTGCATCGCCGCAAGAAGATCGATGCTCAGCGCCTGCTTGTTGATGTGGTGGAACGACTGCATCGAGAAGTTCTTCTCGGGGAACGCGTACGAGCCGACCTTGACGTACTCGGGGAAGGTCTCGGCCACTTGCTGCGCAATGACACCGCGCACAACCTCGTTGGAGACGTGCCCGATGGACTGCCACTGCTTGCTGTACCGGTACTGCTTGACCTCGATGTTCTGAAGGCGCTGGAGCAAGTCATCTTGATCAACGTCCTGGATCTCGGTCTTGATACGACGGTCCGACGGGTACGTGATGGACGTAAACTGCGCCGGCACATGTGTAATGACTTCGTTCGCACGAACACGCATGACGACGTCACCCGTGATATCCGACTCGCTGTGGGCCACTGTGAGCTCGCCCGACCCGACGACCATACGAGTGTCGCTGCCGCTGGACAAAGTCAGCGGCGCGTCGGGGCCAGACGTCACCGAGACACTACCATTCGGGTCCACATTGATCGACGCCATATTCTCCACGTTCTGGAGCACGATCTGGCCGCTGGTGCCGGCTGTGACAGTAACATCGCCGCCGACGGAGCCCTCGCCACCCGAAAGTGCAATTGAGCCCGCGATCCCGGTGGACGACGCGCCACCAAGAAGTGAAATGTCGCCACCACGACGGCTGCCACGACCACCCGACACGGTCGTCACACCACCCGTCTCCAGACCGTCACTGCTTCTAATCGCAAGGGCACCACTGTCGACGGCAGCGCCCGTAGCGATCGTGACAGTGCCACTGGCGCCTGTCGTAGAGGTCGCACTGGTCAAGCTGACGGTGCCTGATGCCACTCCAGAGCCCGACGAGAGGCGAAGATCGCCGCCGACACCAGCAGTTGTGGAGCCAGCGACAAGCGACACAGAGCCAGCATCGAGCGTGGCACTATCTCCACCGCGGATCTCGACGGTGGCACCGGCGAGTTGGCTCTTGCCAGCACCAAGAATCACAGCGCCCGCAGATGCTGTCGTGGCAGGCCCCGATGCAATAGACACGAGACCACTCGTCTTGCTCGTGCCCGACGTGACGTGAACGGCGCCGGACGTAATGCTCGACGTTGCCGACGTGATGCGCACTGCGCCAGACGTGGGACCCGCGCCAGACGACAAATCCAAGTCACCGCCGATTGAGTACCCCGAGGCACCCGCCGCGACAACGACGCTTGCACCAGACGTCGACGTCGCAAAACCGGCTGAAAGAGTCACCGCACCGACCGATCCAGACGTTGCGTTTCCAGTGGTAATCGCGATCGACCCCGAATGGTCCACGACCGACGAGCCTGTCGCGATGCTGACTGTGCCAGAACTGCCTCGCGCGGAGTCTCGCGACTGAATTTCGACGTTGCCAGACGCAGAGCGCCCGTCACCCGACGCCATCGCGATGGTACCACCGATGCTCTCGCCGCTCATGCCGGCAGCAATCGACACCGCGCCTGCTGGGCCGATGGTACTGCTCCCCGAGGCAATCGAAACCGAGCCAACAGTCGAGTGCGCGTCGCCACTCACAAGATCAATCGCGCCGGACGCACCCGACGTTGACGCGCCGGTGGAAAGCGTCAGACGACCCGTGAATGCACCGGACGCCGTAGCAATCGCAATTGCACCACTCGCGCCAGCGATACTAGAGCCCGACGCAAGCACAATCGCGCCGCCAGACGTGGCTCCGCTCGATGCGCCAGCAACCATTGAGAGACGACCGCCGTTGACGCCCACGCCAGCTGACACGATAACGTCCCCGCTGGCACCCGACGACGATTCGTGGGTGGACAATGTGATGCTGCCCGATGCACCGGCCGTGGGAAGTCCGCTTCCGATGAGAATAGCACCGCTTGAAGACGACGACGCCGTAAGAAGCTGGACACTGCCCGACACGGTACCAGCGCCGCTAGAGAGGCGCACGGCACCTCCGGCACCCGCGTTCGAGACACCGCCAGCCAACGACACATCGCTGCCTTGGCGGGTATTTGTTGCACCCGCCGCGATAACGACGCTGCCGGCTACACCACCAAGCGCGCTGCCAGTGCCAATTTCAAGGTTTCCAGAGGTGCCAGCCGTCGAGGAGCCAGTCTGGACGTCAACCGAGCCGCTCGAACCTGCAGCCACGGATGTGATACGGACTCGACCCGAGACCCCAGCATGGCTACCACCTGACTGGATCGACACGGAGCCGCTTTGACCACCGGCTCCAGCGGCGACAGTGATGTTGCCGCCTTGCCCGGTCGCACTGCTTCCTGCGGTGAGCGCAATCACGCCAGCAGCCACAGCACCGGCTCCAGAACTGATCTGAACGGAGCCAGATGCAGCGGTCGTAGCCACGCCCGTCGAAATGACAGTGTTTCCGCTCGTAGCACTGGAAGAAGACGACAGCACGACCGAACCAGAGACCGTCGACGTGCTGCGACCCGATGTGATTTGAACAATACCACCCGTTGCGTCGCTGGCACCACTCGAGACACGGACGCTTCCCGCCTCATGTGACGTCGACGAGCCGACAGAAAGATCAATCGAGCCCGAGATACCGCCCGCGCTGCTGCCCGTAGCAATCGAAACCGAGCCCGCAGCGTCGGACGCGGCATTACCAGTGCCAAGTTTCAAGGCGCCCGAGCTGGAACCATCGGCCGTGAGGACTCGGACAGTGCCACTGGTCTCGCCCGATCCGCTCGTGATGTCAATAACGGCGCCTGTGCCAAAGCGACTCGCGCCGCCGGCAATGTCGACAGCGCCCGCCGGTCCCTCGCTGTCGCCGGAGCGAATCGACACGGTGCCCGACTGTGTGGTCGAGATACCAGAGGTGACGGTAACAGCTCCCGAGATCTGAGCCGCCTGCCCCGAGCCAACGGTAAGCGAGCCGGAAGCGTCTTGAGCTGTCGACGCCGACTGAACTGCGATACTACCACTGGCGCCCGAGCTCGTGCCAGACGTAACTTCGACAGCGCCACCGACGCCATACGCACTATTACCGCCTTGTAGCGCCAGAAGACCACCCGTTCCATCGCTCAAGCTACTGCCAGAGGTCAACGATAAGGCGCCACCCTCGCCAAGCTCGCTGGCCCCGGACGTGAGCGCAATGGCGCCGCCAGCGCTTGTCGTCGATTCCGAGCCATTCACCGAGAAAGTCCCGGCGACATGGCCTTGCGAAGCGCCGACATTGATCGCAATTTTGCCGGCGCTGCCGGACGACGACGATCCGCTGGAAAGCGCGATACTTCCTGCAGCTCCCGTTTCCGACGTGCCGGTGGTCAAAGTCAGCGCACCGCTGCCGCCGACACCTGCCGGCGTATTGATTGTCACGTCACCGCTAGTCGACAAAGCGCCCGCGCCAGACGCAATCGAGACAGCGCCGCCCGTCGCCGCCGCCGAGCGTCCTGCGCTCAACGAAACGGTGCCACCACTCGTGCGACTGCTGTCACCGGTGGCAATTGCAACATGGCCACTTGAGCTGCCAGCGCTGGAGCTGATGTGAATCGTACCGGAAGCGCCCATGCTGGCGTCGCCCGTAGTGATAGCGATCGAGCCAGACGCGTCGCTTGAGCTTGTTGAGAGAACGACCTTGCCGCTCGACCCACGTCCCGTGCCAGATCCGATGGAAATGGCTCCGCCATTGCCGGACGCGGCATTGCCCGCCGCAAGAACGATGTCCCCGCCGTCGTACGTGGCATCGCCGGACGTCGCGCCAACGGATAGCGTCAACGTGCCGGGTGCCGCACTCGAAGCTCCCGTAGATATGGCAACGGCGCCCGACGACTCGCTCGTTGCATCACCCGATGCAAGGGCAATCGGCCCACTCGAAGCACTGCCGGCAGTCACAATGGCCAAGCGACCCGACGCTGTTGCACCGGGGCCCGACGCGACATTGACATTGCCTCCGAGAGCGTTGGTCGATGAGCCACCAATCACGACGACGTTGCCAGCCTCGCGCGAAGCAGCACCTGCAGACACCACGACGTTACCGGCAGTACCAGACGTCGAGCGGCCGGACGCAAGACGCACGGTTCCTGAGGTTTGGACAGCGTCGCCCGATTGCATCGAGATTGATCCAGACGAGGCGTCGGCAGTGGCCGAAGACAGCACAACACGCCCCGTTGTCACCGGCGATGCACCAGACGTCAACTCAAGCGCGCCACCTTCGGCACCGGAGGACAAGCCCGACGAGATCGTCACAGCAGCGCCTTTCGTCGTCGAATCACCCGCGCGGAGCGAGATACCACCGGCTTGGGCCAACGATGCACCCGTTGTCAAAACAATCTCGCCAGACGCTTGGGGCACCGCAGTCACAGCACCCGTTGCGATAGACACGACCCCCGAGCCGCCCGCGGTGCTTCCATTAGCAGACGTCAGCGAAATTGCGCCGCTTGTATCCACGGCCGAGCCCGATGTGAGCACGATATCACCACCAGAGTTGGTCGACTTCTGGCTGCTGCCACTCATAAGCCGAATCGATCCGCCAATGTCACCGCTACCAGCAGAAACCTTGATCGTGCCGCCAGAGCCAACGGACGCCGAGCCAGTCGTCAGCAAGAGGGCGCCCACTTGGCCGTCCACAACGTTGCCAGTCGAGAGGTCAACCTTCCCAGAGTTGCCCATCGTCGTCGTTGAGCTTGAAGCAATGGTAATACCGCCCGTGGACGACTCGCGGGCCTTAGCCGTGCTCGAACCCGATACAAGCGAGATAGCGCCGCCTGACGCCGCACTGCCAGCAACGACACTGACTTGAGCCCCGACTGGCGCAGCAGAACTAGCTCCGAGGGTAATACCCACGGAACCAGCCGACGAGCCAGAGCCAGTCTGCACAAGCAAACTGCCCCCCATGCCCCCCGATGCTGCGCCCGTCGCAAGCGTCAAGTCGCCAGTGCTCGAGCTCGCCTTGGTAGCGATTTCCACGCTGCCCGAGACGTCGCTTTGGCTTCCGCCAGAGCGAATCTGTATAGCCCCGCCGATGCTGTTGTCGCTCTCGCCGCCAAAGATGCTCACAGTACCCGACGCAGCCGCTGCCGACCCGTTGCCGTGGCCACCCATGACGGTCACATTGCCACCGAGAGCGCCAGGCGCTGCCGCAGAGCCGGCTTGGACGAAGACACTACCGCCAGACGACGACGCAGCGGACGCTGCACCAGCGCTCACAAGTAGAGAGCCACCGTTTGATTGCGAGCTGGCACCCGCAATGACAGCGATCTTGCCTCCAGTCGTGCCGGAGCCCGCGTTCACGTTCACAGCCCCGGCGCTGCCCAGCTTTGACGACCCGGAGGTGAGGTTCGCGTCACCCGTGGCGTGATCACTACCGCCGGCAGTTGAAATCGCGATGGCACCACTGACGCCAGACGCACCACTGGCACCCGAGGTCAACCGAACCGAGCCACCGACGCTAACGTCGGAAGCGCCAGCTTGCACAGCAATGTCACCGCCAGTGTGACCGGCGCCGCCGGAAAGCGATATAGCGCCACCGATAGCCTTGGCGGCTCCAGAGCTGATGACGATGGACCCCGTGTCTCCAGCAGAAGACGAGCCCGAGAGCATGCGGACTGGGCCCGACGCACCCGACTTGCCAGCAGCTGCAGACTGCAACACCACAGCTCCACTTGTCGTTGCCTTGCCGGCGCCAGACGTGATAGAGATGCGGCCGCCGGTTTCAGTTATCGACACACCCGAGGCGAGAGCCAACTCGCCGCCAGTAAGATGGCTTGCCCCGACACCAATCGAGACGCTGCCAGCCGTTGTACCGGTCGAGAGACCGGACGATAGCGTAATGGCGCCGGAGGTTGACGTCGCTGCACCCGAGGCCACATTAATGGAGCCCGTGGATGCCCCATCGGCCGTTTGAAGGAGCATCGACCCGGTTTGAGACGCGGACGTCGACGTCGTGCTTTCACCAGTCTCAATGGTCAGGCTGCCACCGACTTGGCTCGTCGCTCCCGATGTGAGGCGCAGTGCACCTCCGTTTGTGCCGGTGCTTGTACCAACAGAGACCGAGATATCACCAGCGGCACCTTCAGTTGCCCGACCCGTCGTCAAACGAAGTGCACCCGACGCGCCTTCTGTCGCAAAGCCCGTTCCGAGAGCAACGTCGCCACTCATTTTCGACGGGGCACTTGACAGCGTAATGACACCACTGACCGAGGCTACAGAGGCACCAGACACCAAAGTAATGCGACCGCCGTCACCGACGGTGGAGGCACCGGCGGTCACGTTGACGTCCGCTCCGCTGCCGGCGTGAGAAATACCCGCACTTGTGATGATGGACCCCGCTGTGCCCGCGGACGCGCTGCCCGAAGCTACGACAATGTCGCCAGCCTTGCCCGTGGAAGCTTGACCCGTGTACAAAACGTTGTTGCCGCTGCTCACAGAGCCTGCCGTTCCGAGCGAGATGCCGCCGCTGGATGCCTTTTTGGACGCCCCGCCTTCAACAGTAACAGCACCGCCAGTGGATGCAGCGCTCGAGCCGCCCGCGAGACGAAGAGCACCGCCAGTGGCAACCGAGCTGCTGCCCGCCGCAAGAACAATGTCACCGGCAACACTGTCATCACTTGCGCCCGGCTGGACAACAACAGAGCCGGACTTGCCCTGCGTCGTGGTACCCGTCGCGATCTTGATGGCACCCGAGTTGGCACTTGCCGCATCAGATGATGACAGCTCAACTGCACCGCTCGCAGAGCGATCGCTCTTCCCGCTCACAATGGAAACGGTGCCACCCGTTGACGCGGAAGCGCTCCCACCCGAGACAACGACACGGCCACCGACGTTGCTGGACGCATCAAGACCGCGGCTCGAACCGCCCGAGACACGAATGGCGCCGCCACTGCCACCATCGATCGCGTCGCCCGAGCCGGCGCTCACAGTCACATTTCCGCCAGTAGCGCTGGCGCGTGTTGTTGCACCACTGGAGACAACCACGTTGCCGCCATTGCCCAACGAGCCCGAGCCGACAGCCACGGTAATATCGCCGCCCGCGCCCTGAGTCGCGGAGCCCGTCTCCACGAGAATGCTGCCCGAGCCACCGTCGGTCGCTTGTCCCGTGGTGATCGAGATGACGCCAGACGTGGCCGAGCTCGTCGTCCGAAGCGAGAGAGCGCCACTCGAAGCGCCTTCACTGAAACCGGTTTCAAGCGAGAGGGCGCCACCGCTAGCGGTGCCATCCTTTGTGTTACCGGTACGCAACGAGATGTCACCGCCGTCACCGTGGCGTCCTGTACCGACACTGGCGCTGATGGAACCGGCACGTTCGTATCCCGTCGAGCCCGTCGAAAGTGCGATAGCGCCCGACGCATCGTAGCCGGAGTCGCCAGTTTTGATCGAAATGGCACCGCTGGCACCATCCCAAGTAGAGTGGGCCGAAGCAATCGAAATGGAGCCAGTAGACTTTGAGGCCGACCGTCCTGACGTCACAACGACCGAGCCACCGTCCGAGGACTTTGAGTTACCACCACTCACCGTGACAGCACCGCCAGTGGAAGCACCAAAACCACCCGACACGTCAACGGCGCCACCAGTGGATACGCGTGCTGCACCACCAGTGACTTTGACTCGGCCACCGATATTACTGTTGGCGCCGGCCGAGAGCTCAAGAGTACCCCCAGTGTGCGAGCTGCCTTCGCCGACGCGAACGGCGACATCACCACCCGCGCCGTTGCTCGACGTGCCCGAGGCAATGGTCAGTCGACCCGACGACGCGTCGTTTGTTGAGTCACCCGTCGCCATGACGATATCGCCGCTCTTGCCCTCGCCCGTCGTTGCGATCGACACGGTGCCGCTCGCGTCCGACGGACCGGCACCTGCCTTGAGAGCGATGGATCCACCATGAGCAGAGCCCGTGCCGGCGTTGATCTGGATGTTGCCACCGATGCGGCTGCTGTCGCCGGCGGCAACAACAACATCACCGGCAGACCCGCGGCTCGAGGCGCCGGTGCCGATGGAAACAGTGCCCGAGTTGCCACCATCGGTCGAGCCCGTCACAACACGGAAGCTACCGCTCTGGTCCTTCTTCGACGTCACTTGGGCCGTAGAGACGAGCACATCACCGCTGCTGGCCGCCGACGATGACCCCGACTGGATCTTGACAGAGCCGCCGGCAGACGCAGACGCCGAGCCGGCCGTGAGCTCAATGTTGCCGCCGAGTCCTTTCGCACCGTGGCCAGCGCGCAATTGGATACTACCGCTTCCACCGCTCTCGGTGGCGCCCGTCGCTACGAGAATGCTGCCGGAGTTGCCCTTCTGGGAATCGCCCGTTGCGACAGTCACGACACCTACGTCATATATTTTGTAAGTGACCACGTCTTGGCCAATGGCGTCGTCGTACCCGAGTCACCGCGAGGTGATACGGCGGAGGCAACCTGAACGTCGCCGCTGCGCTTTCCAGCGCCGGCGCCGCTCGCGATAGACACGCTACCACCGGCACCGACATCGGCGTCGCCACCATAAAGAGCCACTTCACCGCCGCTGTTCACGTCGGGATGCAAGCCATGCGCTTGGCCGCCAGCGATCGAGACACGGCCGCCACTGCCTCCGATGGCCGACGTGTCGCGGTTCACGCCCGCACCTGCACGCAAGTCGAGGCGGCCGCCGCTGCTGTCTCGTGCGAGCGAATCGCCAGCAGAAGCTACCAAGCTACCGCCGCTCTGCGTCAAAGTGTCACCGACACTCAAGAGCACCTACATAACTTGTCATCACACCGCATCAATGGTACCACGCAGGTGTACCTGGCCAGCAACGCCATCGGTCGACGCGCCCGTTGAAAGCTGGATGCCACCAGACAACCCTTTAACTGCCTTGCCGGTCACAACAGCCACCGAGCCGCTCACGCCACGACTAGGAGCCATGGGCGTCTCCAAGAGCAGGTCGCCGCTGGACGACTTTGACGCGCCCGATTTCACCGTTACACCACCACCCGTGCGGGCGTCCGCGCTCGCAAACCCGGCAACAAGTTTGATCGCGCCACCGTCCGTCGAGCCACTGGCACCAACCTCGACGAGAATGCTGCCAGCAGTGCCTTGCTTGTTTGGGTACCGACGTGACGAGGGGTAGGGCGCGTCACCAGACCGCACCACAATGTCGCCCGACGGACCTTCCGTCGCATAGCCCGTGATCATGGCAATCGCGCCTGTGCTACCGACACGGCCAGAGTTGGCCGTCTGCAGCGTTAACGCTCCCGACCCGGCCTCTTTGCTGGTACCCGAGGCAATGGACACAGAGCCGCCGGGGCCGCTCATGGACACGCCGCCCGAAATGCCGACAAAGCCACCTACACACTCCGTTATAGAAAATATTCCATCTAGAGTGCAACGCGACGTACCAACGTCTTTCGTGTCGCCACCCATTGAGATGCCGCCTTGCAGAACGAGCTGTCCGCCGTGGCCGCCCCCGTTGCGTCGCTTGCTCGCACCTGTGCCGGCGAGAAGACGCACGTCACCACCGGCCTTGCCATACTCGGTCGTCGCGCCCGCCGAGAGCTCGATGTCGCCGCCACGACCGATTTCGTTCGCACCGATGCGCAACGTAATGCTGGCAGGTGTCATCGACTTGCCCGTGGTCACGGAAAAGCTGCCGGCCGTTGCCTCCTTACCAAACGTGGCGCTGCCCGTTTGGACGACAACCGCGCCACTGGCCGCGCTCGGTCCCACGGCATTGGCAGTCTGAAGCTTGATATCGCCGCTTGCTGCGCTCGTGCTGACACCACTATGGAGCTCGACAGCACCGCCAGTCGAGAAGTCAGCCTTGCCACCATGGAGCGCGACCACGCCGCCCACGCTGTTGACTTTGCTGCGTCCTTTCGACTCCCCTCCAGCAATCTTGATGGAGCCGCCACGGCCACCGTTGAACGTGTCGATACTGAGGCCTGTCCCGGCGGTCAATTCGATGGCGCCGCCGACCTTCTTGTTGGCTACACGATCATGAGCCACGTGTAGGGTGGCGTGAGTTTACCTCTGGTGTTGCCAGCTTTCAAGACGATGCTGCCACCAACGCCTTCGTCCGGCGTAAAGACGTTACCCTTGTCGCCAGATCCAACAGTCATCGTGATGCCGCCGCCCGAGCCGCTCGTAGCGTCGCCCGTCTGGAGCACAATCGATCCCGATGCGCCAAACGCCGTGAGGCCCGTTTGCATGACAATGCTGCCCGACGACGCGCCTTTGCCGGCTATCGAGCCGGCGCTTCCTGTTTCGATAGCAACGCTACCGCTCGCTGTATGCTGGCCAGCGCCCGACTGGATCGAAACGGAGCCGCCAATCGCCTTGCTGACCGCGGGGCCAGCCGACAGCGAGATTTGGCCTAGTGCACAATATCGATCGTTCAATAAACACGCAAAAAAAGAGGACGTCGTACCGCCAACGCCGCACGTGCTTTGGCCTCCTGACAGCGTGATGGAGCCGGCGACGCCAAGCTTGGTCGCGCTTGTCGACAATGTAATCGCACCCGTGTTGCCGCGGGTTGCCCCACCCGTCGTCAAGCTAAGCGTGCCACTCATGCCGGCGGAGCCAGCGTTGGCTGTCGACAGCTGGATGCTACCACTCGTCGTGTACGGGCTCGATCCCGACGTGACGTCAACAGAACCGCCGGTGCCGTAAGCCGCAAACCCGGCTTCGAGACGAATGTCGCCGCCCGTGTCGACCTTGTTCATACCTTTTGCTGCACCGCCAAAGACATTGACGTCGCCGCCCGAGCCGCCACCAACGTTCGTCTTGCTCGAACCTTGACCGCCGGTCACCGTCACTGTGCCACCAGACGACTTGGCCGCGGTCGACTCACCCGCCGTTAGCGAGAGCTCACCGCCATCGCCATTGTTACCCGTGCCGACTGTCGCGACAATGGCACCACCGCGACCACCGCTCGCGGCGCCCGTTGCGAGCACGATGGCACCCGTGGTGCCGGCGCTTGATGTTCCAGTTTGCACCGAGACCGTGCCACTCACACCTTCTTGACCAGCGTTTGACGTGCGAAGCGACAGGTCGCCACTCGACGTTTGAGCGCTCGCGCCAGTTGTAAACGAGAGATAACCACCCGTCTGAGCGTCCGAGGTTGCACCGGCGCGCAGGACGAGTGGCCCGCCTTCGCCGAACGTTCCGTCGCCGACCTGGACCGTGATTGTACCGCCGCTGCCACCGATCGCGCTGCCCGAGGCAATCGAAATGGCTCCCGTGCTGCCTTGGCTCGACGTGCCTGTTGCAATCGAAACAAGGCCGCTCACGCCGCTTGTGCCCGCGTTGGCCGTTTGCAATTGGATGGAGCCACTTGTCGAGCTCTGGCCGACGCCGGACGTGAGAGAGATCGAGCCACCGTAGCCCGCGACGGCGTTGCCGCCCGTCAAAGCAACGTTGCCACCGTTGTCAGCACTGTTTTGGCCCATTGATTGGCCGCCTTGAATGTTGACGGCACCACCGTCGCCACCGTCAATAGTACTCGGGTTTGAGCCGGTACCACCAATCAAATCGATGGAGCCACCGACACGACCTTGCGTCGTCGTCTCGCCTGCCTTGACCGTCACCGAGCCGCCGTCGTTGATGTTGCCCGCGCCAACCAAGAGTTCGATGGACCCGCCGCTACCGGTTTGACCAGTACCACTCGAGAGCTGGATACTGCCCGACGCACCGGCCACGGCTGTGCCAGTCTTGATGTTGACGTCGCCACTGAAACCTTGCGGACCCGACGACGCCGAGCCAATGGTTACGGAGCCCGAGCTGTACACGTGACTACCACCCGACATGAGCGACACGTCGCCGCCAATGCCCGCAGCGGCCGCACCACCGCTGAGTGAGAGCGCACCGCCAATGTTTTTGGTCGCTTGGCCAAGACTGGCACCACCAGAGACGTAAACCGTCCCGCCGTTGCCGCCGTCGCCGCCGTTAGTGCTCGTTCCGTCGCCGCCTTGAAGCGTGACGACACCACCGGTTGATGCTGGAGCCGACGTCGGGCCTGCCGACAGCGAGAGACTGCTGCCGTCGCCGGTATCACCGGCGCCACCTTGGACGCTAATGGCGCCAGCTCGTCCGTTCGTGGCGCTACCCGACTGGAGAGAAATGACGCCGGCATTGCCGCCCGTCGCCGCGCCAGACCGCAGTACAATCTTGCCACTGCCGCCTGCAATACCGCTGGGCGCCGTCTGGACTTGGACATCGCCGCTTGTTGCCTGCGCCGACGCGCCGCTCATAAGAGCGACAGTGCCACCCGTGGCCAGCTGCGAGGCGCCACCCACGATAGACAAAACACCACCGAGGCCTTCGGTCGATGCGCCACTCTTCAACGTCAACTTGCCGCCATTGCCGACACCGGACGGGCTCGTGTGCAACCCACGACCTGCGCCACTTGAAATATCGATGTCGCCACCGACACCACCGTCCGTTGACAACCCGTCGCCTGCCTTGAGCGACATGGCGCCACCCTTGCCTTGAGGCGCAATTGCTGCACCCGACGCGATCGAAACCGAAACGAGCGGTTGGGGTCCGTCGCCAGACTTCAATGAGATCGCGCCGACAATACCGCTGGTCCCCGCCGCGCCCGTTGCAACCTTGACGTCGCCCGAAGAGACGACGGCGTCGCTGGTCGACAGCGTGAGCGAGCCCGATGTTGGCGACGTTGTCGTCAAGATACGCACGTCGCCCGAGGTACCCGTCAACGAGCGGCCACTCGCGAGCGACACAGTTCCGCCCGCGTTTGTTGTACTCGCGCCCGCAGCAACGCTGACATCTGCGCCAACGCCGTTGCCACTCACACCTGCGCGAAGATCGAGACGTCCAGCTGCCGCGTTGATGGCGTCGCCCGTGTTGATGCTGACAGCGCCAGATGCACCCGTAACCGTGTTGCCCGACGCGACACGCACCGAGCCCGATGCAGCAGCCGACGATCCCGAGAGCACCAATGTGTCGCCGCTGCTGCCAAGCCGACTGGAACCAGAAATGAGTTTAAGTTTGCCGCCTTGGCCAACTTCGGCAGCGCCACCTGCCACGGACACGTCACCACCATGGCTAGCCGCAGTTGAGCGCAACGTGCGACCACCTTCAATCGACACGGCACCAGCGACACCATTGACAACGGTCATGTCCGCGCTTTGACCGGCGTCGCCACCCTTGACAAGCACGCTGCCTGCTTGCTGACCCGCGACTGTTGACGACGCTACCACCGTAATGTTGGCACTAATGGCGGCGTTGATGTCGTTGCCGGACCCGATGCGGACCGCGCCCGCGACGGCGCCGCGCACCTTGACGCTACCCGAGCCGATGCGGACGTCGCCGCTTTTCAGCGTAGCGCCGCCGGAACCAATGACGACACGGCCCGATGTCGAGCTGTTGCCGCCCGTTTGCAGTTGCAAGTCGCCACTGCCCAAATTGCCGTCGCCCGTCGTCACAATAGACGTGCCGCCGGTCGAGAGAGCCGATGCTCCGCTCGTCACAATGACATTGCCGCCTGCTTGCGTCGTGTTTCCAGCCGTGGCAGCGCCACCGGCAAGCACGAGCGTGCCCGGGACGATCGCGGCGCCAACCGCGACCACGATGGAGCCCGATGCGAGTGTCGAGCCGCCCGTTTGGATGGTAATGTTGCCGGTAGCATTCCCATCAGGACCGTCGGCGGTCGCAATCGCGATGACGCCCGTTGGACCCAGAATGCTCGGGCCCGAGAGCAGTCGGATCGCGCCGCCAGAGCTATTGCCGGCACCACCCGAGAGGTTGATACTGCCACCGACTCCTTGAAGCGACGACCCGGCATTGGCGCTGACGTTGCCACCGGCGCCGGCGCCACCTAGCGCGACCTGGCCCGCACCGCTGCCGGCATTGATCGAGACTGACCCGCCGGCGCCTCGATCGGCACTCAATCCACTGCCAGCGTTGACCGAGACGTTGTGCCCCATCGTGTTGACCGTGATTGCGTCCCCGGCCGACACTGCTACGTCGCTCGCCGCGTGCAACGCAACCTACCGATTGCACATGAGATCCAGCATCATGAATTGCAAATGCAACGTACGCGCTCGCCAACCGTAGCGTTGTAGGCATGTCCGTGGACCTCGAGGCCCGACGCGTTGGTCGTCGGGTCGGGATAGATCGTCACCACGCCCGTCACATAGTTTGTGACCTTGGTGATCTTGATCGGGCACGGTGGCGAGGTCACGACACTGCCGCACGTCGCGTCGGACACCGCGTCCGTCGGCATGCAGGTGTTGGCCTTTGTGCACCACGCGCACGCGCCGTCAGACGACGCGCACGCGCCGCATGTGGAATGCGCCGTGCAGTCAGGTTTGGTCGGGCACAGCGCCGGCGCCGAAAGCCACGAGTCGCAGTTGCCTGCCGTCGGACCGGCCGGACCACCGGGCTCACACAAGAGCGTTGCGAGACAAAACCCGCAGCCTTGTATGGCAGCACACGCGGCACATGACGCCATTCGCGTCCAGTACGGCTCGGTCACGTCTGGGCCCGTGTTGAAGGCGGCGCACGGGTCGGTCGCTGCCTCCGAGTACGCGCTGAGGGCACGCGCACGGGCTTCACGAAGAACGCTCGAGCCGCCCGAGTCTGCTCCTTCGCTCGCGCTGCCACGGGCTGCGCTGCGTGGGTTGTCGCCGCCGATGGGGTACCCACCGACGGGGTGCACAAGACCACCTTGCGCTGCGACGCCGCCCACGCACGACGTCGCCCACCAAAGAACGATGCACCACCCGGTAAACCAGGGTAGCATCGCTCGCTTCTTGAAACGGGGCCCGGCCATCGCACCGATGGCCGCCTGGCGCCCGTTCTTCGTCGTCATCCTTCCTTCTCTTCCTTCAGCCTACCACTCCATGAGTCATCGACCACGTCGTTGCGCGCACGCACTGTCGATTGCTCGTCTACCAAAGTCCTCGTCAAGCTTTGTCCTTGCCTCCGACTACCAGCTGCGCTGATCTCCGGGTTGCCTGTACAATCTTGCTCTACGGTCGCCATGGCCGCACGCTCGTGGTCACACTGATCGGAAGCGCCGGATAACTGGCTTCCGCCCTTCTCATTGGCCAAAACGGACCAATCCGCGCCCGCCGTATCTTCCCAGGTGAGATCCATGTTTCGAATTTTCGTACAATGAAGATGCTGAGCTAAACATGCACCTGATTATAATGATAGTGGGAAGATCGTGGCATACATTGCTGCAAAAAAATGGAATTAAAATTCATGCGGGAAGGACGACGAAGACGCGGCCGAACGAGTGGCAGCCCGTGCTTGAAGTCGGCCCACAAATATGGAACGCTGCACCTTGCTTGGTCGTGCACGTTGTTTTACTATGCGGCGCCGCTTTGCAAGCCAAATAAGCTCTGAGAATACAATACGACGGCGAGCGGTCGTTCGAGGTGGGCCGCCCATGAGTTGTGTGGTGCCAGTGGCAAGCAAGCCAAGATAGCAAGAATACGAAAGGTTGGCACAGTTATTACATGGTTGACAACGCAGTCGCAGGCTTTGGTGTTACGCGCGAAGTCATCTCCGTCGTGCCGTATATGCATCGATCGATCAAACCGTGCTTGCGTTGAAATCCAGCGAGGAAACCAACTCGAAGACTACGCGGACGGAGCACTGCGCCTGAATGCGTCG